ACTGCCACACGTAATACAGCTCTTTATTCATCTCCTTCCTTCCTTCCTTCCTTCCTTCCTTCCTTCCTTCCTTCCTTCCTTCCTTCTCTCCCTCTGCCCCCCTCCCTCTCTCCTTCCCCCCTTCTTTCTTTTTATTCCTTTTTTTCACTTTTTGGACTGTACCTGGCCTGCTCAGGGCTTACTCCTGCCTCTGCCCTCATGAATCATTCCTGGAGGTTCATGGAGGGCCATGTGGGATGCCATCAACCATGTGCAAAGCAAGTGCCCTGTGACAGTACAGAGTTGACAGAGCTATACTATCGCTCTGACCTCAGTTCCCCTCGAGTCTCAATGGAGATAACAAAGTTATCATTTTCCCCTATCCATTAGATATTACTCAGATATTTTTTTAACTTTAGGGTCACACCCGATGATGCTCAAAGGTTACTCCTTTCTGGCTCTGCACTCAGGAATCACTCCTGATGATGCTCAGGGGACCATATGGGATGCCAGGAACTGAACCCCAGTCAGGTGCTTGCAAGGCAAGCGCACAACCCACTGTACTCTCTCTCTGGCCCCAGGTATTTCTCAAATCTTGATCTTCCTGAATTTACAATTTCAGTCACTATTATTTCTCCTTTACATTCAATACCCCTCTTATCTTCACATCTTCTGTCAAAATTTAAGGACTTAAAAAAAAAGTCTTTTACCTACCTTTCTACTGATTAGCTAATACTCTCTCTCTTTGCCCATAGTAGCTTTAAACCTGGCCCCAATTTCTCTGATATACTCCTTACTAAGAGAAGCTAGCACAGGCATGTAGGTCGGTGGTAGAGCACATACTTCAAATGTCCAAGCCCTCCAGTTCGACCTCTCCAAAGGAGGCAGAGAGATAGCTCTCTGGGATGGAGGTCATGCTCAAAATGTAGGAGGCCCAGGTTCAGTCCCTGGTACTTTCTCCCAAAAGGCTCTGTGAGCACTGCTAGGTGTGGTTCCTGAACAAAAATAAATAGGGCCAGGCAGCAATATCAAGAGATAGATCACATGCCTGACATGTTTGAGGCCCTGCATTCAATCCCCAGCAGTGCATGACTTGGTCCATATAGCAAGGCTATAATCTCATGGCCCCTTAGCCCATCAGATGTGGTACCTTTAAAAAACACATAGATAGGGCAAGAGTGATAGTACAGCAGGGAGGGCATTTGCCTTGCATGTGACCCACCTAGGTTTGATCCCCCACATTCCATATGGTATCTTGAGCACTGCCAGGAGTAATTTCTGGCTGCTGAGCCAGGAGGAAGCCCTGATCATGACTGGGTGAGTACCCAAAATAAAAACAAACAAAAAGAGACAGGAGTGATAGTACAGCAAGTAGGGAATTTGCTTTGCATGTGACTGACCAGGTTCGATCCTGGCATCCCTGGTAGTTCCCTGAGCCTACCTGGAGTGATCCCTGAATGCAACACCAAGAGAACCCCCTAAGCACTGCAAGGTGTGGTTCCAAAACCACACACACACACACACACACACACACACACACACACACACAGACCACTCAGCTCCCTCCTAGTTCTCTCTGAACACTCCCTGTGTCTGTTCTCTTTTTGGACAGTTCTTTCTTGCAGAACCCAGACTGCAAGAGATCACAGGGTCGCTGACTGGCCATGTATAACTAGATTATGGCTGAGCCTGATCTTTAAGTGTTCCCAACCTTGGCACCAGGCCTGTGACGGAAGAAACTTCCAGATGATTCCTTTTCCTAGCAATTCAAGTCCCCTTACTTCTCCCCTCCCCCCCGCCCCCCTCCCCCCCAGTCACTTGAGCATTTGAGTCTTCCCAGTTGGGGCTCCAGACATGACATGGCATAACAGAGATGTGACCTGTCACATTACTGACCTATCGACTACATAAGCACACTAGAATATGTAACTTTGGGTTAGTTTGTTACACAGCTATAAGAACTAAGACATTTCCTTTGCAAGCAAATCTCCAAAGAGTAGCTTAATAATGTTCTCTGAAGTTAATATCTAATTTGTTAAATCTAATGAGTATTTTCTTCTAAGGCTATTAAGAGAAGTTTTTATACTAGTCTCAAACTCTTCCTTTCCTCTCCCATCCCCACTTCTTTTATTTTGGGGCCACACTCAGGCTCTGCAGTCAGGGGTTACTCCTGGAGGTGCCTGGAAGACCATAGGCAGTTCAGGGGATCAGACCAGGTCAGCCTTTGCAAGGAAAACGCCTTTTTTTTTTTTTTTTGCTTTTTGGATCACACCTGGCGATGCACAGGGGTTACTCCTGGTTCTGCACTCAGAAATCACCCCTGGCGGTGCTCAGGGGACCATTTGGGATGCTGGGAATCGAACCCGTGTCGGCCACGTGCAAGGCAAATGCCCTACACGTTATGCTATTGCTCCAGCCCCAGAAAAGCATCTTAACATCTTAACTAATGTACTGGATTTACCCTCCCCCAAACAATTCCTTTTGTATTTTTTGTTTTTCTATTTTACTTTTCTTTACTTTCTTATTTTGTCTTTTGGGCCTTGCCCATATTGGGATTCATGTCAGAGTTAAAGCCACAGCAACATGCTGGGCAAGTTCCTTAACCTTTGACAATCTCTCTGGTCCCTTCCTGGTTTTCATGAGCATCACTCTATCCCAGATCCCTTTCTTACTCTCTGGCCATTTTTCAGTTTCATCTGCAATTTTACCTTTCTGAATCACACAGTTGGGAACAGTCCCTGAACAACACCAGGTATGGCCCCAAAAATGAAAACAAAATGAAACAAAGAACTTTTGAGAGGGCTGGAGAGATAGTGTGGGGGTAAGGCATTTGTCTTACACGTGGCCAATCCTGATCCCCAGCACTGCCTTCAGTGCCCGTAACAATGTCAAGTGATTCCTGAGCACAGAACCAGGAGTAAGGCCTGAGCACTGCTAGGTGTAGCACCACCAACAAAAGAAGTGTTGACCATAACCATTATCACAGCTGTGGGAAACTGCAAGTCCTAAAGCAAGTCCTCTACATTTCTTGATTTGATTGCAGAACGTATTCTTCCCAACCACACATAATTTTTGGCCACACCCTGTGATGCTCAGGAGTTACTTCTTGCTTGAGGGAACAATATGGGGTACTAGGGAACGAACCCAGGTCAGCGGCATTAAGGCAAGCGCCCTACACGCTATACTATTTCTCCAGCCCCAGAGCAGACATTTTCTGCCTTCCACCAATTAATCATAAGATAAGACATTCACCAACTACATAAAGGAGTTTTAGAAGCTAGGAGGGAGCATCTGAGGGGAAGAAATCCCATTACTTCTTCCATGCAACAAAGAGTTTATTACCCATCTGATGTGCTCTCTTGACGAAGAGGTTTGTAAATCTGTTTTGCATATTTTAATTAACTAAGGCTAAAATAAAACATTTTGCCACAACAATGTCCAGGTCTTTCTGGGAGAATTCTCAATGGGGATGCTAATAGCATTTGAGTTCATTCAACACCTCCTTATACCTAATGGATTTCAAACACATTTCCATTTAGCTGTTCAGAAAGTGAGAAAAGGCAACTAGCAAATAAAGAGCAGAAAATTCTAACATAATACAGAAGTGACTATGAATCGGTGGTGAATGTTTTGTATCCTCATAGAGTATGATTCTCAAAACCCACACTTAAGAATAGACGAAACCAAACCAATAAAACTTTGCCCAATATGGCTTATTATGACACTTATTATGGAGAGGAATCTATTTAAAAAACTAAATAATGCGGTTGAAGAGATGTGCAGCATTGTATGCTGCTGACAGGGATTCGATCCCCAGCACCCGATATAGTCCCCTGAGCCCCACCAGGAGTGATCCCTGAGAGCAGAGCTAGGAGTAAGTCCTGAGTACCTCAGGGTATAGCCCCTAAACAAAGAAACAAGCCAAAACCCTAAGTGGTTGTACTGGGATGTAGCTCAGTAGCGGAGCATTGCCTTGCATGGGTGATACCCTGGGTTCTCCTGGTACCAAACTAAAAACAAACGGTTTGAATTTTGAGTCTTCTGTCCATTTCCTCCCAGGTTTTACTAAATCACTATTACTATTCCAGGACCTGATGTCAGCATAAAGAACTGGAAAACTAATTTATAAAACTGTCTATTCTAACAGTGAAAGTTCAGTGATTTAATACTTCAACAAATACAGGTTTTATTTTAACTTAATATTCGTAATTTTTTGGTTTGGGGGCCACATCAGGCATTGCTCAGGGCTAACTCCTGGCTTAGTGCTCAAGGATTACTCCAGGCAGGGTTCAGGAGACAATATGGAGAGCCAGGGATCTAAACCAGTCGGGCACGAGCAAGGCAAACACCCTACCAGCTGTGCTATCACTCAGGCCCTTATATAGGCTGATTTTAATACTCTAAACGTTATCTGAAGGGCTGATGTACAGTATTTGTATTTGAAAACACAGAACCGGACTGGAACGACAGTACAGTGGGTAGGGCGTTTGCTTTACACGTGGTCAACCCCAACATCCCGTGTGGTCCCCTGAGCACTACTAGGAGCGATTCTTGAGTGCAAAGCCAGGAGTAACCCCTGAACATCGCGGAGTGTGACGCAAAAAAAAAAAAAAAAAAAGAAAAAAGAAAAAAGAAAAGAAAGCACAAAACCTAGGTTTTCCGTTTTTTTTTTAAACAATTTTATATTTCCGCTAAACTTAGAATTTTCTCTAATTCAAACCTCTCCAAATCAAGTGCTACGACCTGTCGAGCTGGTAAAAAGCTCATTTCCGACTGCAATTCTATGAAGGCGGAAAAAACATCCATGGAAGTCTCTTACAGTTGACTGCTAAACTTCAGCACAGTAATGTCACATGTACAGTAATTGTGGGCACGCCTAAGTCCCTCCCTCTCTCCTCAACCAAATTCCCCAGATCCTAGAAATCCAGCCCTTCTGCCCTCCGGAGGCGCCTTTCCGCCCGTCAAGCACAATCCGAAGATCTGAAGCTCGGGACCCAGTAATGATCCCGGAGCCCACCGCGAGGGAACCCGGGCGCCCCAGGGCCTGCGGAGGGTGCAGCGGGCTGTAGGCCAGGGCAGGGGGAGTGGGCCAAGCTGCTGGTTGGTGCCTGAAATCTGTGCGTTGCCCCTTTAATTGTGTCCCCAGCCCGCGGGCGTTTCTGTCCAACGCCCACGTCAGCAAATACCTTTTGTTTCTCTCACGTTGGGGCTACTTGTTTGAGGGCGCCCAGGAACGGCCCCGGAAGGGGGCTTTTCCCCCGCGCCGAGAGCCCCGGAGCCTGCTGCCCCCGGCCCGAGCGCACGACCCGCCGGTGCTCGGCGGCCCGCGGTAAGTGGCAGCGCGCGGCGCGGCGCGGGCTGCGGGCTGCGGGCTGCGGGCTGCGGGCGGGCGGGCGGGGCGTCGGGGCCGCCCGGGACGGGCCCGCGAGCCGCTGCGAGCCGCGGGCGGGCGGGAGGCGCCGCGGGCTCGGCCGCCCGGAGGGTCTCGGCGGCCGCGGCGCCCCGCGCACGTCGCCGGCCGGGAGGCGGCGGGAGGCGCAGCGGCGAGCGGGCGCCATTTGCAGCCCCGGGCGCAGCGGCGGCGGCGGCGGCTCGAGGGGCTGCAGCGGGTCACCCGGGAGGCCGGCGCCGGGCCCGGGCGGGGCTGCGGGACAAAGGCCGCCCGCCCCGGGCCCGCGCCCGCCGCGCGCCCGCCCCGCTGGCCAGCCCGGGCGCGCCGGGCCGGGCGCGGGGAAGGACGCGGAGGCGCACCGGGAGCCCGCGCGGGCGGCGCCGGCCGGGCCGGGCGTGTCCGGAGCCGTCGGGCGCCGCGACGCGGGCTGTGCGCCCAGCGGGGCCCGCGCCGGGCTGCCCGCCCGGGGGCCCCGTGTCCGCCGCGGCCACGGGCGCGTCGTCGGCCGGAGGCTCCCCGGGCGCCGGCCCGAGGTGGTGGTCGGGCTGGCTCCGCCCTTGGGTTTTCGCTCCCGACGCGGCACACGTGGGCTCCGAGTCGAAGGCTCGCGCCGCGCCCCCCCGCGCGACGGGAGCTGCGGGGACGCGGTGCCGCGCGCGCGTGTCGCCGACGCCCCGCGCCCCGGCACCTCGGCCCCGCGGCCCCGGGCCCCTGGCCCCTGCCCCGCGCTCAGGGACCGCGCCGCGTGCCGGCCGCCCGACTCCACCGCTGCCCGAGACGCGCGGGCGCTTTTCCTTTCCCTTCCTGGAATTGGGGTGGAATCGACACGGGACGCGTTTGGAGCGACGCGCGGCAGTGTGCGTGAAAAACATTTTTTAATTTGCAGAACTTTAACGAATGGTGGGTTTTCACGGGTATGAATGATTACACTGATTTTTTTTTTTTTTTTTTTTTTTTTTTTACAACAGAACAGCCATCGCTCACGCAGCCAGATAGGGTTGATTTCCACTTTCTAGAAGGGGAAACGCGGTAGGCTGGCTTCTCCTCTAAATCCGGAGGCAAAGGATGGCAGCTCCTCACGCGTCGCCTCCAGTTCTTGCTCTGCGCTTACCCCTAAGAACAGTTTCAGAGCTTTTGGCATAGGAAGTTGTTTCCGCAAAGTCCAGTTGTTCTGCTTTAAAGCCTAATTTTAATAAGAGAAAAAAGAAAAAGAAAAAACAGAATCCCAGGTCCAAAGTTCCTTACCTGTCTTGCCTTCCCAAGCTTGGGAGGATGGATGGGTTTGTGGCCCCCTGAACAGCCCTGCACTGTTGACCAGATGTCTTTATTCTTGGCCACACAACATGGTCTAACCTGTGCCCTTGGCCGGCTGCACAGTGTGGCAAGGCTAAGGCACCAGGAGGCTTTCTGAGTATCTGGGCTCTTTCTGGGTATGCAAAATCCAGCTCCATGAAAGAGGGCACCCTGTCAGACTTATGGCCTTGAAATTCCCAGCTCTGATTTAGGCCATCAAAAACACGTATTTCGTTTTTATTTTTGGGCCACGTCTGGCAGTGTTCAGAGATTACTTCTGGCCCTGCACTCAGAAACCTCAGGGGAACTTATGGAATGCTGGGGTTTGAAGCAGGGTTGGCCACATGCAAGGCAGATCCCTAAGCTGCTGTACCACTTTTTTCCACGCTTGGCTGTGCTGAGACTTACTCCTGATACTGTGCTCAGGGATCAATTCCTGGTGAACTTGGAGGACCGTATAGAGTGTGGGGGATCCAACCAGGGTCAGCCTTCTGCAAGGCAAGTGCCCTGCCTGCTAGATTATCACTCCACCCCAGCACCCCCCTCCCCCAGCAAAACCTTTCTAAGCTAAGGGATAGGCTTTAATTTTTGCATATTCCAAATCTTTTCTGTTGTGGTGGTGGTTGGGGGGCGGGGGCAAGATCTGGCGATGCTCAGTGCTTTATTCCCGACTTTGTGTTCAGGGATCACTCCTTGTAAAGTACTGGGTACTATATGGGGTGCCAAAATTGACCCTGATCGACTGTGTGCGGAGTGAGTGTCCTACCCACTCCTGTACTATTGGTCCAGCCTTTCCAAATCTTATTTTCTAGATAAAACCGAATTTCCCTCTAATAGGCTTAACCTAGTGATTTTGGCATATAGAAAGGATTTGATATGTTTATTTTATCCTCCTGTAGGGAAGTTTTTGCTACTTCTTTTAAATCCATGATTCCCAGTCTTTCTCCGATTAAAACACATTGACACCAGCATATGCCACTGGTGGCTCATGCGTGAATGTTGCTTAATTAACACAAATTGCAGAGTGCCAATATCAGTATGTTAAAAGCTAGAAGCTTCCCTCCTCAAAAAAAAAAGGAAAAAAAAACCTGAAACCCCGAAACACCCAAACTAAAAAAGCTGAAATCCACCAAATACTCTACAATGCCCTACAAGCTCTGCTTCCATAATATCCTGCTTGCACTTCCTTTCTTTTTTCGGGGGTCACATCTGGTGGTGCTCAGTGCTTACTCCTGGTTACGCACTCAGGGATCACTCCTAGCAGGGCTCAGGAGACCATATGTGGTGATGGGAATCTGCCACATGCAAAGCGAGGTAGTACTCTACCCACTGTACCACCTTTCTGGCCCCTGCACTTCCTTTCTGATTCTGTATCCTATTCAATACCCCATTCTTTCCATATGCCTCCCAGAAGTCTACAGTTTCCAACGCTCTTCCTTAGAGTCTTCACATTTCTGTTACATCTGCCTGCCTGAATACTTTTCCACCAGACCACCAGATGACTCACCTTCACCAGGCCACTTAAATACTGTCCTTGCAATGAGATTATCCCAAGTATGGTTTTGATACTCAACCATTTTTACACTGTTATTACTATTTTGTTCGTTTCTGGTTCACACTAGGTGGTGTTTAGGGGTTACTCCTGATTCTGAGCTCAGGGATCACTCCTGGTGAGGCTCAAGGAACCATTTCTGGTGCTGGGGATCAAACAAGGCATCTTAACCTCTACTATCTCTCCATTTCCCTCAATTCTCTGAGGGACCTACATTAGTATCCTCTTCACTAGAGGATTTTTGCTTTTTTTGCAGGGGTGGGGGGGTGTCACAACGGTGATACTCAGGGGTCACTTTTGGCTCTGCATCAGGAGTTACTCCTGGCTGTGCTCAGGGATGGGATGCTGGGGATCAAACCTGGATAGGCTGCATATCAGGCAGCTGATAATAACCCACTGTATTATCCCTCTGGCCCCGAGGACTTTTGCTTTCATGACAAAGGCAGAAGAGAAAGTACTGTGTGGTCTGTGTTCCAGGGCAGCCCTAGTAGAGGCAAGAGGCATGAGGCAGTAGACAATCTCCACAAGATCCTTCCCTGAAGAACATTGTACAAATACCTCCCGGAAGATTGAGTTTCACTGCCCTTCCAGGAACAATCAACGGAGGTGGGGTTAAGGTCAATGAAGCTTTATTGGTGAAGGTTAATAGAACTATTTGTAAATACAATGGCAAAGTCATCTCCTCAAAACAGCTTTTTGTTTTGTTTTGTTTTGGGGGCCACACCCAGCGATGATCAGGGCTTACTACTCACTCTGCACTTAGGTATCATTCCTGGAGTTGCTCAGGAGACTGGGATGTTGGGGATCGACCCCGGGTCAGCTGTGTGTAAAAGGCAAATTCCTTACCTGCAGTATTATCTTTCCCACCCCCAAAACAGCCATCTCATCTTCATGGACAGAGAATGGATTTTTACTGGGAGAGAACAGTGAGCTGTTAACAATAACAGAATGAACAATAACTGCAGTCGTCTCCTCCCCTCCCCCCATCCCTCCAAGAGCTGGTACTCAGAGGCACACCCTTATCTGCAAACTTAAAGTCTTTGGGGGGGGGGGGAGGATAAACTGAGGACAAGATGTCTTTGGTGCAAGGACGGTGTTTATTGTCTAATTGATGTTTCTGCTCTGTTTTTGGGCCACACCCAGCTGTGCTCAGGACTTACCTTAGGTTTTGGCTCAGGGATCACTCCTTGAGGTGCTTGGCAACTTTATGGGGTACCAGGAATCAAACGTGGCCGGCCATGTGCAAGGCAAGCACCCTGCCTGCTGGACTCTCCAACCCCTCTCACTGATCTTTGGCCCTTGTGTTCTAGGCTGTGTATTTATCACATCAACCCTGCTTTTCCTCTATAATAATGCTATTTTAGGGCTTCTTTGTTACTGGGTATGGTATGTTATTGGTAGGGTATTTTGGGGATTTGGGAATGTTCAGGAAATTTCCATGGGCCTAAGAGATAGTTCAATGGGCAGCATCACATGCCTTCCACGCTCAGTTTTGATCCCTGGCTCTGAATGGACCCCTGCAGAAGGACCTGGAGTAGCCTCTGTGCACCACTAGGTATGCCCCCAAAACAAACCAAAAAAAAGTAATTGTTTTCTTCACAAGAGTTTATGGTAATTGTTTCTTTGCCTAGTGTATGCCTGTTTTGGTTAGGAAAGGTTTTACTGGGAAGTTCTATTTTGAAACTGGTTCTAGAGCTATTTGGTATTCTTCAAGAATTCTGCTCCTCCTGACTTGGTGATTCTTCCTTCTACTTAAACTTTTTAATCAATTAATTAATTTATTTATTTTGGCTTTTTGGGTTATACCTGGCGATGCTCAAGGGTTACTCCTGGCTCTGCACTCAGGAATTACTCCTGGTGGTGCTTGGGGGACCATATGGAATGCCAGGGATTGAACCCCAATTGACCACGTGGGGAGAAATGTCCTACCCACTATACGATTGCTCTGGCATCTTTCTGCTTCAACTTTGAGCAAATGATTTATTATGTCATCTGGGTCCAGTGGAAGGAAAAAGAAACAACTCTAGTGTTTTGTTTATTTATTTTAATTTTATTATTTTATTTGCCACACCCAGTAGCGCCTAAGAGCTACTCCTGACTCTGTCCTTCAGGAGTCATGCCATGTTGGGGGTCAAATCCAGACCTCTTGAATGCAAACCATGTGCTCAACCTGTTTCGTTATTTCTCCAGCCCCTACACTAGTATTTGAATTCTTTTGTGTGTTTGGGGGTGGGGGGAGGTGGGCGGGGCCCACACCTGGCAGTGCTCTGGGGTTATTTCTTGCTCTGTGCTCAGGAATTACTTCTGGTAGTGCTTGGGGGACTATATGGAATGCCAGAAATCTAGTGTTTTAATTCTTCAGCCTACGGAATTTGAATGCTTACAAAATCAGTGGAGGGGCCAGAGCAGTAGTACAGCGGCTAGAGCATGGCCAGGAGTAATTCCTGAGCACAGAGCCAGGAGTAACCCCTGCACATCACCAGGTGTGGCCCTAAAATAAACAACAACCAAAAAAATCAACGAAAGGGGCTGGAAGAGTGATTTCAGAAATGATTCCGCGGCGCTGGAGATACTCAGAGGACTGGGGTTCTGTTGCCTTTGCAGGCAGGAGCCCTGGATTCAGTCCCAGTGCTGCATGTTCTCCTGAACCCCACCGTGAGCCATCCCCTTGGACAGAGCCAGGCATAGCTTCTACACTCTGCTGGGTGTGCCCTAAAACGCAAATAAATACCTAAAATTATTTCTAGGACCACACTGCTGAACAGTCTCTCCAGGGGAGAGACTCAGGAAACCGCCACTAGGATGGCTGAGTTCCAGATGTCATTATTCGTTGTCATTTAGTGATCAAGAAATTCCTACCATGCAGCCACCTCTCAGCACTCACCAACTAGTGACAGCTGTCTGCACTCAGCTCCACAGCCCTCACGCTGCTGCCCAAAGCCCCGCATTCCCCTGGTGTGCCCCAGTGTTCGCAACCCAAACAGCAGAAAGATAGCGTCCGTCTCCTGTTTTCCCAAATCCCCCAGAGCATCAGATTGCTGAAGCCAGTTCCACAGGGAGTAACCCAACTTGTAAATAAGTCTGCAAAACACAGTTCTAAAATTTTATTTTATTTTGGTTTTGGGGCCACACAACATTGCTCAGGGGTTAGTCCTGGAGGTGCTCAGGGGACCATATGTGGTGCTGGGGATTAAACCAGGGTCAAATGTATGCAAGGCAAGTGCCTTAACAAGTTCTATCTGCTCAGTCCCAAATACAATTTTTTAATTTTCCAGAGAGGAGCTAAATGTTAATGTACAAATCTTCTCTAGCTAATATAGTCGGGGGAGGGATGTGGTGGTTATCTCTAAAAATGACATTGTCACATTAAATATAAAAACTGCTGCCCGAGGGCTACAGTGATAGCACAGCAGATAGGGCGTTTGCCTTGCACGCGGCCGACCCGGGTTCGATTCCCAGCATCCCATATGGTCCCTCGAGCACCGCCAGGAGTAATTCCTGAGTGCATGAGCCAGGAGTAACCCCTGTGCATCACCGGGTGTGACCCAAAAAGCAAAACAAAACAAAACAAAACAAAAAAAACTGTTGCCCAAAACAAAACAAAAAACTGTTTAGGGGGCCATGAAGATAGTACAGCAGGTAGAGTACTTGCCTTGCACATGGCTGACTTGAGTTTGATCCCTGGTACTGCATATGGTTCCCTAAGCCCCACCAAGAGTTATTCTTGAACGCAGAACTAGGAGTAAACCCTGAGCACTGCTGGGTGTGGCCCCTAAACAAATTTAAGAAAAAATACAAAATGGGCTGGAGAGATAGTAGTGGGGAGGGCATTTGCCTTGCACATAGCCAACCTGCGTTTAATTCCCAGCATACCTTACGGTCCCCTGAACACCCTCACGAGTGATTCCTGAGTGCAGAGCCAGGAGTTGGCATCTGAGAACCACTGGGTGTGGCTCCCCGCCCCAACAAATAAATAAATTAAAGGAAGAAAGTATGTAAAATATAATGAGTATACAATATTATGAGGTGCTTTTACTTTCTTAGGGAAGTAATTAGAGGGACTCGAGAGAGAGCTCTGGTTAGGGACACAAGCCTTGGATGTACAAGAATCCAAGTTTGTGTTCAGACCTTTTTCCATCTTCTGTTTTGTTTCCTGCATCTCATCTTGGAGTTTCTTGATAGTGCCTCCGCTGCTGGTATTTTGCTGCTTAGACCGTCTGTTGAGTTTTTTATATCACCTACCGTGCGCTTCAATTCTATCATTTCTGAGTGTAGTTTTCTCGTTTCTTTCTTGTGCTCTGCTGGCAGTCTGTGCCATTGTTTCTTTGAGCTCTGTCACAGAGTGACACCTGTCAGTCTAGTGTCACTAAAGTCATTCTCTGAGGATTTGCCGAGCTGGCGGGTGTGGGTTGAGCCTTCTGTCACTGTTTTCGCTCACTGAGCGTGGTGGACTTCTAGGCGACTTCCCCGTAGTATTTGCTGTGCGTGTGCTGTCCTGGAGGTGAATCTTTGTAGTTAGCCTCACTGGGAGTCTCTGAGGCTTTTGTCTGAGTGTTGCTTTTTCCCTTCCTTGCAGGTTTCATCAACAGATAGGAAGTATAACTGAGGAGTGTGAGGTTTGATGAGTGGAGCTGTCAGGAGAGGGTGTGGTGTGCCTGTGGATAAGATGGAGGTCGGGCATGGAGGTCGATGACACCTAGCTGGAAGAAAGAGGATGCCACCTTGGTTGCAAAAAGGCCCCAGAGGTATCAGCCAGGGTTTGCTCTCACCTGGAAGGGTGAAGAGCAAGCAGAGGAGACTGTGTTCCCTTTAAAAGTCACAGAGGTGCAGGCCAGAGAGTTGAGGGGCTAAGACACTTGCCTTGTATCCTGCTGACCCCAGTTCTAATACTGGTGCCACATATGGTCCCCCAGGCTTCATCAGGTCAGGGGTCTCTCCTGAGCATAGCACTCCTGCATGTACTACCCCCAGCCCCCGCCAAAAAAAAGTCACAAAATTGGGCTGGAGGGCATCGTCGAGGAGTAATTGAGGCGAGGTGCTTGTCTTGCATGCAGCCGACCTCAGTTTCATCTTCAGCAAGTTATATGATTTCCCCATTGTTTGCAGTCCAAGCAGCAGAAAGATGGTGCCCATCTCCTGTCTTCCCAAATCTCCCAGAGCATCAGATCGCTGAAGCCAGTTCCATGGGGGTAACCCAACTTGTAAATCACTTGATCCCTTGATACCCTGTTACTCATCGATTTGCTCGAGCGGGTGCCAGTAACGTCTCCATTCATCCCTGTTGCATGCTAGCGTAGCCCAGTGGCATCTGCTCGTTCTAGGAACATGAAGAGCCTCAAACCGATCATTCAGGGTCTTGATGAAGAAGTCTGACCATCTTGTAGGTGGGCGTCCACACGGTCTTTTGATGTCCCGTGGAATCCAGTCAGTAATGGCTCTAATCCAGCGGTCGTCTCTAAATCTCATTACGTGTCCAGCCGCCCTTTTAAATAACTTTTATCTTAAGAAGTTAACTTCATTTTGTTGTGGGGTCACATCCAGCAGTACTCAGGGTTTACTCCTGCCTCTGTGCTCAGGGATCACTTCTGGTGGGCTTGGGGGACCATATGTGGTGCTGGGAATTGAACCGTAGTTGGCCGCATCCTAGGCAAGCACCCTGCCTACTGCTCTATCATTCCAGCTCCCCAAGAAGTTAATTTTTGTTATTGTTTGTGTTTGTGTCGGACCCAGCTGTGTTAAGCGATCTCTCCTGGGTGCTTGGGAGATTCTGTGGGGTACCAGGGCGGATCTCTCCTTTGTGCTTGGGAGACTCTGCGGGTGCCAGGGCCTGACGGGGTGAGCCACATCCGAAGGAAGTACCTTAACCCCTCTTCTACAGCTGCAGATGATTTGTCTTCGTTTTTATTATTATTGTTTCCTCTCTTTCCTTTCTTTTTTTTATTTTACATTTTATTTATTCATTTATTTAAATTTTTATTAGTGAAGCTCCGTGGGGTACAGTTGTAGACTTACATGTTTTTGTGCTTGGGTTCCAGTTATACAATGGAGCTGTCTTTCCTTTCTTGCTGCCGCCGTGGCAGTCACCAGCAGCCATACGCTTGGGGTGCTGGCACACTGGGCTGACATTTGCACTGGGGTTCCACACTTCAGTGTGATTCTCATGCTCCCTGAGAGCAGGTGGTTGGTTGGTTGGTTTTTGCTTTTGCTTTGCTTTTGCGTCACATGCAGCAGTGGTCAGGGGACTGTACAGTGCCAGGGATTGATCCAGCTGGTATCCCACATACAAATCATGTGCTCAGGGCCGGAGAGATCGCACAGAAGGTAGGACACTTGACTGGTGTGTGGCTGACCCAGGTTCAATCCCCAGCACCCCCTGAGCCTGCCAGGCATGATCTCTGAATGCAGAGCCAGGACTTAGTCCTGAGCTGGGTGAGGCCAAAAACAAAACAATAGCATGTGCTCAGTCCTCTGAACTTTCTCTCCAGTCATCCCACACAGCTGTAGGCTGTACTGGCCGTTCCTGCCTGTGTCCAGGAGATCTAAACTCAGTTGTGGGGTCAGGAGTCCTGGACAGCAGAGCTGTTGAGGTCTGAGGTAGAGTGGCCAGCCGGCCCCAGTCAAACTCATCTTCTCAGGCCTGTTAGGCTGCTGTATCCTCTGAGTTTCTTATTTATTTTTACATGCTAAAAAACTGTGCTTGATAATTGCGTCCATATAATTTATTTCAAGTGCATTGTAATGGCTATTTTCTCTCTATATAGGACAATCCTACACAAAGAGATTTGTGTTTGAGTTGAAATTTCCTCCTTTGTACTTCAATCAACTTCGCAGGATTTCAAGAGCAGCTTCATACATTTCCAGGTATGACAAATTTTAATTTTGATCTGTTTACCATAAATATAGGGGCTGGAGCGATAGCACAGCGGGTAGAGTGTTTGCCTTGTGCGCAGCCAACTCAGCCGACATGGGTTCGATTCCTCCGCCCTTCTCGGAGAGCCTGGCAAGCTACCAAGAGTATCTCGCCCGCACGGCAAAGCCTGGCAAGCTACCTTGATGTATTCGATATGCCAAACACAGTAACAACAAGTCTCACGATGGAGACGTTACTGGGCCCGCTTGAGCAAATCAATGAACAATGGGAGGACCATGACCGTGACCATAAATAAGTCTCTAAAAAGTAGAATTTTGCCACTGTAGTTGCATATTGTCCCCTCTCGGAGAGCCCGGCAAGCTACCAAGAGTATCCTGCCGCACGGCAGAGCCTGGCAAGCTCCCCGTGACGTATTCGATATGCCAGACACAGTAACAACAAAGTCTCCAATGGAGACGTTACTGGGCCCGCTCGAGCAAATCGATGAACAATGGGAGGATAGTGATAGTGATAGTTGCATATTGTATATCACAAATTCTTTTTTGTTACTTTGGATTGTTTTTTGATTTTGTTTGTTTGTTTTGGGGGTGTTTAGGTCACTCTCGGCGATGCACAGGGGTCACTCCTGGCTCATGGACTCAGGAATTACTCCTGGCGGTGCTTGGGGGAACATGGGATGCGGGGAATCGAACCTGGGTTGGCCACATGCAAGGCAAACGCCCTACCTGCTGTGCTATCGCTCCAGCCCCAGGATTGTTATTTGAATATTATCTGCATAGAGGCTTGAGAGATACAGTACAACAGGTAGGGCATTTGCCTTGCATGTGGCCAACTTGGGTTCTATCCCTGGCATTGCATATGTTCTCCTGAGAATTGCCAGGAATGATCACTGAGCACAGAGTGAGGAGTAAAACCTGATCACCGCCGGGTGTGGCCCCCAAACAAACTTCTTTGCATAAAATTTGCATAAATATTCTTTCAGTCTTTTTAGCCAAATTACTCTTTTTTTTTTCCTTGTTGGGTCACACCCAGCGATGCTCAGGGCTTACTCCTGGCTTTGCACTCAGGAATTACTCCTGTTTGAAGTCTGTATGAGAACGAGTGCAAGGCAAACACCCTGCCCGCTGTGCTATCACTCCAGCCCCTAGCCAAGTTACTCTTTGCTTATTATTAGTTACCTCATTGCCTTTCTGATTTGTTTGTCTTCCATTCTTCCTTAATCAAAGACTCTGTTACATACAAGCTGGAGATGATCTAAAATTAAGACTTGAGAGGAGGAAATTAAGCATAGAGAGGTAAAGTGACTTGCCCAGTGACGTATTGCTTTCTTGATGTTCAGACTGTCAGAACTCAGATCTCCCTGCTTGCCCCACAGTGGTGGTGAAGGTGTTTTACATAGCAGTGACATTCTGCCAACTGTGGTGCCTCTCTGGGTTCATACTTTTCTGTAATGTAGGGAGCAATGACCTTTCCTTTCGCCGCTGTGACCGCACCATGTGTGTACTCAGGCTTCATAAGAGGCTCTCCTCCAGCGTGCTGCACTGCGGCAAGAAGAAGGTCTGGCTGGACCTTAACGAGACCAATGAAATCGCCAGTGCCAACTTACGTCAGCAGATCTGGAAGCTGCTCAGATGGGCTGATAATCGGGAAGCCTGCTACTGTCCATTCCTGGGCTCGGTGCCGGAAAAACACACTGGCATGCCGCAAGGGATGGAATATGGGCATAGGTAAGCACAAAGGTACTGCCAATGCCTGAGCACAGGAGAAGGTGACCTGGATGAGGAGGATGAGGATTCTGCGCTGGCTACTCAGAAGATACTGGGAATCGAAGAAGATTGACCGCCATATGTATCACAGCTTGTACCTCAAAGTGAAGGGGAACGTGTTCAAAAACAGGAGAATCCCCATGGAACATATCCACAAGCTGAAGGCAGACAAGACCTGGAAGAAGCTCCTGGCTGACCAGGCTGAGGCCCGCAGGTCTAAGATCAAGGAAGCATGCAAGCATTCATTCCTTGAGGAATGGCTCCAGGAGAAGAAGGAAGAAGACTCTGTCTAAGGAGGAGGAGACCAAGAAGTAAACAGTACAAGGAACGAGACAACTTTACCTGTCTGTACAGAAGGCCATTGCTATTGATCCATTGCTATTGATCATTGAATTAAATAAGACTTTGTCTGCAAAAAAAAAGTAGGGAGCAATTATAATAGCAGAACTGGATGGATAGTACAGGGGTTAAGGCACTTGCTTTATATGTGACCGATCCTACTTTCTTTTTATTTTTTTAACAGATGTACAATTTTACTTTATTTTTTTCCTCCTTCTCCATCTGCCACTGACTTAAAATCTTTTTTTCTTTTTTTTTTAAATTTTTATTAGTGAAACCCTGGCATCACGTGTGGTCCCCTGAGCACTGCCAGGAGTGATGCCTGAGCACAGAGCCAGCAGCAAGCCCTGACTATAGCTAGGTATGGCCCCAAAATCCAAAGTTATAATAATGATGATGGTGCAGATGATACCGCTTAGCTGGCAGGTTGTTGCATTTGAGAATGAATGAATTGCTGCATATTGCTCACCAGCTTCTTCCCGCCCCGCCCATATCTCCTGGTGCTCTCCTGGTTCTCCCTGTGTGCCTACGAGAAGCTGAATTCTCTGCATCCTGCTCCACAGTCTTGGGCAGCCTGCAGGTGTTAAGCTCAGCCTGAGTATTCTCTGAACCCCTTCCTTTGCTTTTGCAGATATCTCCACACCTTTATCAGCAAGTTTGATTTCCCAACTAAATTTCAGATCAGTATTCCTGTGCCCACCTGAGCATTTCTACTTGTTCTCATACAGACTTCAAGCAGTGTACTGAAAACCAGTCATTGTGGTGTGGTGGAGCATCAGTTAGCGATCCAACTCAGGTATGTGCAGTCTACCTGACTCCATCAAACTTGAGCATCAACTTGTGTTGTCATGGGTCCGCAAGGATAGTATAGTGGGCAGGGGCCTTGCCTTGCACGTGACCAGCCTGTATTCAATCTCCAGCACACCAGATAGTTCTTGAGCTCAGGAGTGATCCCTGAGCCCAGAGCCAGGAGTATGCTGCATCTGGAGTCCCCAGATAGGCGATTACCCTGTGGTGCATATTTTGGCATACTATCTATCTTCTGGACCTGGTTTCTATTTTATTAATCTAATATAAACTCCTTCTCCCTTGTTAACATTCTTCCCTGTGGTAATTTTTTTTTCTTTTGTTGGTCACACCCAGCGTTGCTCAGGGGTTACTCCTGGCTCTGCATTAAGGAATTACCCCTGGTGGTGCTTGGGGGACCATATGGGATGCTGGGGATCGAACCCAGGTTGGCCGCATGCAAGGCAAACACCCTACCTGCTGTACTATCGGTCTGGGCCCTCTTTGTGGTAAATTTGCAGTTGATTCTCTGCATATTCAAGGTCTACTATTCTGCAAGTGATGATAATTTGGCTTCCTACTTTCCAGCATCCTGTCTCACATTTCCTTCTTAGTCTTCCTTTTCTTTTTTTTTTTGATACCACATCCAGTGGTACTTAGAGCTTCTGGTTCTGTGTTCAGTGATCACTGCTGACTATGCTTGGAGGTACCCTGTGTGATGTTGAGAATTGAACTCTGTGCAAGGCAAGCACCTTGTCCACTTTACTATCTGTCCAGTCCCTCGTAAGGTTTTTTTTTTTTCTTTTTGGGTCACATCCAGCGATGCTCAGGGGTTATTTCTGACTCTGCACTCAGGAATTACTCCTGGCAGTGGTTGGGGGGCCATATGGGATGCTGGGAATCAAACCCAGGTCGGCCACGTGCAAGGCAAAACGCCCTACCCGCTGTGCTATCGCTCTGCCCTCCCCCCCTTAAGTTTTATTACACTGGCTAATGCCTCCAGAAAAGTTAAATTATAATGATAATAGTAATTATCTGACCATTCAGATAGTCATTATTCAGACCATTCTGAATGTTCTGTGGGTGACTTTATTGAATTACTCCCTCTATTCAGATGCTAGATTTTGGACTAAAATAGATCTATTTTATCCAGTGAGTTTTTGCTGAGCACAGGTAATAGATCAGACTCTGTCATAAAATATGATTAAGCACTGACTAATTTTTCTTTTTTTTTTTTTCTTTTTGGGTCATACCCAGCAGTGCTCAGGGGTTACTCCTGGCTCTGCACTCAGGAATTACTCCTGGCTGTGCTTGGAGCACCAGATGGGATGCCAGGTTGGCCATGTGCAAGGCAAACATCCTACCCGCTGTACTGTTTCTCCAGCCCCTGACTAGATTTTCAAACCCATGTCTTCCCTTAAACGTATTTTTGCTTTCTTCTTTTTTCCACTCTGGAGAAGCCCATGTTGTTTCTTGAATACTTACTTTCTCCTTTTCTCTCCCCTGACATCTTTCTTTTTTTTCTTTTTCTTAGGGGTGGGTTTGTGCTATACGCAGTGGTTCTCAGGGCTTACTCCTGGCTTTATGCTCAGGGCTGACTCCTGGCACGCTCAGGAGACCACCTGGAGGGTCAGGGATCAAACCAAGGTAGGCTGCATGCAAGGCAAGCTCCCTACTCACTGTACTATTGCTCTGGCTTCTCCCCTGACATCTTTCTAACTAAGTTTAGTCCAATGAAAACTATGTTTTTGGGAGGTTTTTGGGGTGAGGAGAGGATGTTCACACCTGGTGGTATTCAGGAATTTCTTCTGGCTGTGCTCAGGGATCAATCCTGATGAGCTCAGGGGACCATGTGTGGTGCTGGGGATGTGACCTGGGTCAGCTGTGTGCAAGCACCCTACCCACTCAGGTCCTGCCAATAAAAAGTATCTTGCTTCACTGGGAAAAAAAGAAAGTGACTAAATAAAGATGAGTATGACTGTCTTCAAAGAGATGTGGAAAAACCAGCACAAAAATTAGTATTATGGCTTTCACAATAGTAAACAATGGAGTCACAAAGAAGATGATGGCTAATCAGCTAGAGCCCCGTGTCAAAGATAAAATTCCAGAGGACAGCATACTCAAACCTTAGTTTGCCATTGAAATGTTTTCATTTAGTTAATTTTATAGGACAAGGATATCCTGGGCATGAGGGGCAAGATAGAAGAAGCCATATGAAGAACCTGTGTTCAGTTAGGACAGAGGAAGTTTCTGTGGATTAGTTGTTTTATTTTTAAAAAATTATTTGTGATTATTATTTTTTGTTTTCATTTGGGGGATTGGGTCCACACCAGATGGTGCTCAGGAGTGACTCCTAGCAGTGCTCGGTGACTGTATGTGGTACTGGGTACTTAGATTGGCAGCATGCAGGCCATCTGTATTTTCTCTCCTGCCCTGGCAGGTGTTCTCCTGAGCCACATTCCCTAGCCTGAAGATTTTTTATTTATTTTTTTAAAAGCAAAAAAAAAAATTATTTTGTGTAACACTCAGTAGTGCTCAGGACTTACTCCTGGCTCAGGGATCACTCCTCAAGGGGGACCGAATGGGTTGGCTGGGGATCGAACATGGGTTGGCTGCATGCAAGGCAAGCTCCCTACCTGCTATACCATTGCTCTGGCCCTGAAGATATTTACTGAATTCCTCAAACATACAAACATTAAATTAAGGCTGGGCAGACACTTAGACATGGTCTATATTCATAGAGATCATGAAGATAAATATACAGTAAAATGAAGCAAGAAGACATACCATAAAAGAAACAATAAAATGCAGGCTGCGCTGGACGGGAACCGAGCCCACCTCCCAGCAACAAAGCTGAAGGTCCCTGCGAACTTTCTCCCCTTCCATTCAGGTAAAATGCAGTCCAGTGCGGCTGGAGCAATAGTACAGCGGATAGGGTGTTTGCCTTGCACATGGCCAACCTGGGTTCGATCCCCAGCATCCCATATGGTTTCCTAAGCACCGCCAGGAGTAATTCCCGAGTGCAAAGCCAGTAGTAGCCCCCGTGCATTGCCGGGTATGACCCAAAAAGAAAAAAAAAAAAGCAATTTCTGGGGCTACGTTTCTCAGGTATAGCGGGCAGGGAACAAATGGCAGGTAGCATCACCTCAGGAAAATCAAGAAAAGCTTCCCAAGGATGCCCTCCCTGTTTCAGCTGATTCTGAAGGAAGAGTAAGAGTTACAAGTTACTCATGTCAGGGGCCAGAGTGATCGTACTGCACACAGCTAACCCAGTTTGATCCCCAGCACCTCATATGGTCCCCTGAGCACTGCCAGGACTAATTCCTGAGTGCCAGAGCTAGGAGTTACCCCTGAGCATCACCAGGTGTGACACCAAAACCAAACAAACTAATAAATGAAGTACTCATATTGGAGGCTAGAGAGAGAGAGAGTACAGTCAATAGATAGGTAGGGCACTTGCCCTGCACATGACTGACCTATGCTCGATCCCTGACATCCTATATGGTCCCCTGAGTTCCATCAGGAATGGTCCCTGAGAACAGAGCCAGGAGTCCTGAGCACCAATGAGTGTGCTTTCCCCTCCCCCTGGAAAAATAATTACTTATATTAGCAAGGGTGGTTTTATTTTAGAACAGGGACAGTATGTACAAATCTATACAAAATCTTGGTGGCAGGAAGGACATAGTGTTCCAGGAAGTGCCATGTGGAATAAGAATGGGAGGTGAGGGCTGGACAGGAAGATAATACATGGCACAAGGCCCTTGCCTTGCATGTGGCCTTATCACTGGTGTTATACCATTTACATATAGCGAGGTTGGCAAACCACAGCCCTCTGGCTGAATTTGATCTCTGCCTCCTTTTTTAAAAAAGTTTCAGAGGGCGGGAGGGAGACCTTGTAAGCAGCTGACCATTATATGGCACCATTATATGTCTTCCAAGAGTCATTCCTGAGTGCAGGGCTAGGAGTAAGCCATGAGCATCACAGTGTGACTGCGCAACAACAACAACAAAAAAAAACCAAAAAAAAAAATGGGGAGGGGGGTGTGTATTTGGAGAGATTGTACAGTGGCTAGATCACTTGCGTTGCACCTCAGTTTTATCCTTGACACTACATATAGTTCTGTGTACCCCAAAGCCCTGAGTACCACTTGGTGTAACCCCAACTCCCGCTCGCTAATAGACTTTTTTTTAAAAGGGCCGCACCTGATGGTGTTCAGGGCTTACTCCTGTGATGCTGGTGGGGGGAGGGGGGGTAACGGGCATACGGGGTGCTGGGACCAAACCCAGATTGGTCACATGCAAAGCAAGCACCTTACCCCCTATACTATCTCTCCCTATACCCACCTCCTAATACATTTTTCAAAAGAAATGGGAGTGAGGCAGAATGGGAAATAAGCCTGCAGAGATGGGCAGAAGCTGGGCGCCAAGGGTATTCATCCCATTTATAGAAAAAAAGGACTTGATCTTGTACTGTAATCAGGACTGAGCTGAGCTCTTAAGAATTTTGAATGGAATCCTGGAAAATAGTATGGTGCAGAGTGGGTTGAAGAAAGACAAAGGCATGGACACCAGTTAAATATTTTACTGTATTCCAAATATCCTTTACAATAACGTTTAATGTCTTTATAATACTTTTATTTTGTTTTATTTATTTTATTAAATTACTGTGAGATACGGACTGGAGCGATAGCAGTCATAGGGCATTTGCCTTGCGTGCAGCCGGCCCGGCTAAGCCGGGTTCAATTCCTCTGCCCCTCTCGGAGAGCCTGGCAAGCTACCGAGAGTATCTCGCCCACATGGCAAAGCCTGGCAAGCTACCCTTGACCTATTCAATATGCCAAACACAGTAACAACAAGTCTCACGATGGAGATATTACGGGGCCCGCTCGACCAAATCAATGAACAATGGGGGGACAGTGACAGTGACTGTGAGATACAGTAACAAAGCTTTCATGATTGAGTTTCAGTCATACAATGATTGAACACCCATCCCTCCGCCAGTATTTTCTA